AGATGCTTTGATACAAGCCCGTATCACTAGAAAGAATGACAGAACATGTGAAGAAGCTGTTTCAGCTACCAAATACAAGATGAGAAGTATTCAACAAAAGTATGGTTTTAGAGGTGAGTAGAGATGAGAAAGAGGTTCTGAAGGGGTTTAAAGGTTGTGTTGTTGAGATGCTAGGATAGATATATGGTTGAGGACAAATTCAACATCAATAGGGTGTTACAAAGATAAATTATATCCCTCTGTATTATGAAATCTTAAGTTGATTGATGATTTGACGCTTAGAGTCTTTTTTGGAAACCTATTATTTTAAGAAACCAATTACTAGAAATCTAGTGGTTGTTTTAATTATTGATGAGAAATGTGAATTTGGAAAATGAACTTAATGGAAGTACTTGTATAGTTAGAAAAGATTAGAAATATAAGAACGTTGTCTGTTAAAAAAAAAAACGCCGCAAACGATATTGCACGTTTATGAGCTTCTAGTGCTTCTCTGGTCATTTCTCTACAGTATCTATTAGTTTATTGATGTTTTATTCAAAATGGTTTTGCACATTTACGTGGTTCTAATTCTCCGGTCTTTGCACAAACCATAGTTTGCCAATCAATAGCATACATTAAACCACCAGCACCGTTTTGAGCTTTGGCAAACACAACACCTAAATCATTTCTTGCAGTGGTTAGATAATAGTTGGTACCATCACCTAAGGATAAAATTTGAGCCCTGACAATATCACCTGGTTTGAAACTTTCTATTATTTTAACTCTATCACGTTCAGTGGATCTAACATCTTGAGATCTGATTATACCCTTGAAAGTTTCACCTAAATCTGATGAAGCTTGATGGATTGAAAAAGTAGAAGCACCTGAGCCACCACCTGCAGCAATTACACCATGACCATTTGAGCCAATTCCAGAATCTGTCAAAACATTTCCAGCACCTTCAACTGCTAATATTTCCACAAATGCTTGTTTTAAATTCAATTTAGTAACTCTTGTTATCACTATATCACCTTCTTTTGGTAAATTTGTGGCGAAATTTGAATCTGTTTCTGTACTTGTTTTGCCATAATCATCATAATCATTTGAACTTGTAGGTATAACTGAAACTTTAAATCTTTTAACTTGTAAATCAATATCTTTTGAGTCTTCTTTATCTTCTTCTGCTTCCTCTTTCTTGTCTGGTATCTCTTCAACTTTCACTTTCCCAACCAATGTTGCTGAAATTATTGATGATTTTTTGTTATTTACTTCAACTTCTTGAAGAATTGCCCCATTACCTGGTTCAAATTTATGTATTAGTTTTGGATCATTTGTGCTTTTCAAAGACGGACAAATTGGTTGTCCTGGAACAGTAAAACTAGGTATTTCGAGACTCATTATGGGTTTGATTTATAAATTCACAAGATCTTGGTTGAACTCGCAGTGCAGTTTAAATTTTTTTTTTTTGATGAGGTCTGCCAAAATTAAGAAAAAAATCAATTCGCGGAAAATTTCAAGTACATAACGAAAACTTGCAGAACTTACACTACTTCGTTTCTTCTGCTTTTTCAAAGTACAAAATGGTTCAATTTCCAGCTTATGTTGATGGTAAACCACCTGTCATCTCCTTGCATGAATACGATGACGCTGAATGGGCTCAAGAAACCGCAGTGGACTCTACAGCACAAGGTTATGTTGCAGTTAATATGAAGGATCAAAATCATATTGTTGCTAAATTTGATCAAGATGCTGCTAAAACTTTAGATACTATTTTCAAGAGTGCTAAAAAGCAATACGTTGAAGAAAATAAAGATGAGATTTTAGAGAAAGCTGGTGTTAAAATGGAAAAACGTTAAGTAAAGTACGTTATGTAATATTGAATGTTCATATCAAATTTTGTCAATTAATTCATTAAAAAAAGAGCACATTAGCTAAACATCACAACTTACTATTCTTAACTAAAGAACCTTCATCATAAAGTTTCTTCAAAATGTCTTCAAATTTCTTTCTTGCATTATTTCTTTTCAATTTCAAAGTTGGTGTTAAGACCTCATCTTCAACTTTCAATGGTTCAAAGTCGAAATGCAAATTGTGTATTTTCTCAAAACCTTGTAAGTCACAATCTTTAACATGTCTATTCAATTCTTGGACAATGGTTCTCTTAAACTTTGGATCTTTCAAAAACTCCTTCAATTCAGGTTCAGTGACATCAATATTATGATGTTGCTTCAATAATTCAATAATTGATTCAGATTTAATACCAGCAACTCCAACAAGATAATTTTTTAAACTGTCACCATGAACAAAAACCTGAGTAATCAAAGGACTATTGGCCAAATAGATATTTTCAATTTTTTCAGGTGTAACATATTCACCTTGACTTAATTTAAAGAAATTCTTCAAACGATCAATAATATAAACTCTACCAGTAGAGTCCATGGCAGCAATATCACCTGTATAAAACCAACCTTCTTGATCAAATGCCTCTTTTGTGGCTTTTGGATTCTTATAGTACTCTTTGAAAATTTGTGGACCACGCAATAATAATTCACCTCTAGCTAAAGGTTTATCATTTGCTGAATAACCCATCTGTTGGACATTACGAAGTTTGAATTCAACAGCAACACCTGGAGGACCTGAAGAATTTGTAGTATTTGTTTCAAAAGGATCACCAAAGCAAACACCTGCAAATGATTCAGTTGATCCATAAGCAGTCATACCACCACAGCATAAAATGTCTTTAAGGAAGTTAATAGTATCAGTACCTAAAGGAGCTGATCCTGTGACAAAATATTTCAAATTTTGAAAACCAAAAGCTTCTCTAACTGTATTTCTTAAAATCATTTTATCAATAATTGGAGCATTTGGATTCTCCCCTAATGCATCAACTTTAAAATGTTCTTGAACGAAAACTTTAATAGCAGCCTCTAACTTATTATAAACCCTTGGGACATTTGCAATCCAATGAGGTTTACAAGCTTTAATATCATCAAACAAAAAAGATGGATCTTTTGTCAACGTTGGCATAGCTAGTGCATAACCACTAGATAATTCAAAATTCATCATTTGACGTTCATAAATATGAGCAAATGGTAAAGCACTAATGGCTCTAAGTTGTTCACCATTATCGGCTTTATTGACTTTAAAACTGTTCAAAGCAGTTTCATTATATGTAGAAACCGGTTTGTATAACCCAACAAGACATGATGACACCCCAGCCACAGCATTTCTATGAGTCAAAACAACCCCTTTTGGCAACCCAGTTGTACCTGATGTGAAACAGATTGAATAAATAGTATCCGGACTTGGTGGGTTGAAACTCGTTGATAATAAATTTCTTTCACCAGTTTTCTCAATAGCCCTGAAATCCACTAAAGTGAGATTCAATTTTTTGGCTTCATCAAATAATGAGTGGTCATCATAATTGAAATCATCTAGTGAAACAACAATGTTTAAATTTGGTAATCCCTTTTGTTTCAATTGTAAAATTTCTTCAACTTTTGATTTAACAGTGAAAATAATTGGGGATTTAGTCAATTCTAAAATGTATTTTGAAGACTCTTCACCAAGAGTAGGATACAATGCGGTTGTTGGTAATGAAAATGCTCTTGATGCAATATCTAAAAGAACCCATTTCTTTCTATTAGGACTTAAAATTGAAACAACAAAATCTGGTTTTCCTTTATCATTCAGAACCTTGTTATAATTTGGATGTCTTGTAACGAAATAAATGATACCAGAAGCAATGTTGTTTTTCCTCAAATCAACTTCTTTATAAGTTTCATAAGTATAATGATTATCATACTTGTTTTTGATGATGTTATTAAATTTTCTATAACCTAGACAATTTTCATTTGGAAATGTTTTAACAGCATTTTGGAAAAGTTTGTCTAAATCATCAAGATCTGGATGAATTGAATCAATTAATGAACCATTTTGACCAATTGCACTGTTTCTGTAAACTGGAGTGAACCCATCTTGGGATGAACCTTTGATTGGTTCAGCTTGGAATCGCTGAGGAGCAGGATATTTCTCATTGAGAGAGTCAAGGGCTTGTATCTTTGAAGACATCTTTGTTGTTGACCTTCAAACGTTAAGAATTGAAGCTTGGATAGATACATTCATGCATCTTATATATACTGGTTGTGTTCCCCATGTTTTTCAGGAGTGTTAATTTTTTAACCAGTGGTACCTTTATAAGCGTCTTGTCTAGATTGAGTGACCTTGTTGATGATGGTTTGGAGACTGGAGTTTCATGGAGGCTCCCCACTGATTGTTCTGAGCAATTTCACCAATTCCTCAGCTGGCCGCCTAGGACCGGACTGGTTACAGGCACTGGCCGTGTGCTTTAGGAAATGTAAACAGAGAAAACGCGTGTCAAAGAAAAGACGATGGTGGTGGTGATGATTTGAGCAGCCCCATGAGCAGCAACGAGAGCAAGGGCACAGGGAGGCCAGAGGCAAAGAGCCCGTCAGACACGCTCTCGACAGACGCCCTTTTGAACAGTTTCAATAGGCTCAATCTGGACCATAGAGTCGGTGTTGGTGGTGGTGTTGATGATGATGAGGCTAATCCATTCTTGGATACAACAACAAGCTATATCGATGCTAACCTGGACAACTTGAGAGGATTTAGAAGGGACCTCAAGAATATTGCCACAAGCACCCACAACAATATATCCGAATCCACTATGGAAATCATAAACAACAATCCAATCACTCCTTTGAAAAGATCAGTTTCCGGAAGTTCATTATTAGAATCCCATTCACCTGAGTTCATACCCAGTGCGGGTGCTGCTGAATCACATAAAAGATCAAACAGTGTGCCTTATGAAGAGCCTGTCCTGGACCTAGAGCTTCTTTTCGCATTGCTAAATCAACTACCAGATATAGAGAGATACAATAATTTTAAAGGAATATTGGAATATTATCTTCAAATATTGGATGAACATGAAATGAAATTTGGTAACGATAGATTTATAATAACCATCTATAATCAGTTGCAAAAGTTAGGTCATAGGTCTAAACTTGAAAAAGTCATTGATATTTTTTTAAATGAACCTTCGAATTTTGCAATGAAGTTATCAAATCATTTATATTTTAAAGATTTAGCTATACGGCAGAAATTCCTAAGGATTTGGTTAATCAAAAGAAGAATCAATCATGAACTAAATCAATCTTGGAAGATATGGATGCTTTACTTGAAAAAAAAACACTTTTCACAGTGGACATATAAACATAAAGTCATTACTGAGGATCTTGAATCTAATGCATTGATATTCAACAATGTTAAACAAATGATGAAAGTGTGGGATGTTTGGACGGCTAATTTCCAAGAACAACAAGCTTTTGCTAGAGTTGCTGATCTTCAACAAGAATCTAAATTTTTCAGTGATTGGAAAGAAAGGATTGAAATTGATAATGACAAGGCAGATTCATTTTATCAAGATAATTTATTACAAAGGAACTTTAAAATATGGAAATTATCCACAGTTGCTTCAAAATCAAATGATGTTGCTGGGTTGAAAAGTTTTTACCAAAAATGGAAGTCAAAACAAGATCGTGTTGTTGAATTGCAAGAAAATGGTGCACAATTGGAACAAATCTTTCATGCTGGTTTTTTCCTTAGTAAATGGAAAGCAAGATCTCAAAAAACTTTATCCAAAACAAGACAATTGGAAGATATTTTCAATCATTCAGTGATGTCTAAATACTTGAACAAATGGTCTGAAGCAATGTATTTCAAATCAATTGAAAACCAAGTCTTGAATAAGAGAAATTCAATCCTATTAGGATTCACATTGAATCAATGGCATCAAAGATCGAAACATAAGGAAATGCTGGATAGTTTTAAGTATTATCAAGGGAAGGTACACCTGTCAAAGTTTCTAAGTCGATGGAAAAATCAATTGGTTTTGAAAAGAAAATCATCTGAAGTTGGTAATTATACTGTTTTGAAAACTCATTTCAACATTTGGAAATTATCAACAAATTTGAAAATTGTGGAAGGTACTAAAAATTACAACAGTGTTGAAAAGCTGTTCAATAAATGGCAGAGACGTACTCAACTACAAAAACTATCTAATGATTATAATCAATCCATCTTGAGTAAATTTTGGGATAAACTAGTATTGCAAAAGATCAAACTTGATAATTCTTTAGAAGCTGGTGATGAAGCTTATGAATCTTACTCAAAAGTTATCTATTTCAATCACTGGAAAGGGCAATTGGATCAAGTTCATGAAAATGAAGTTAGAAGTGACAATGTTGTTTTAAAGAAGTTTTTCCAAAAGATTGTGAAAAGAAATTCAGATGGATCAACTCTGGAGCAAAAAGCTATTGAATTCCATTCAAACAAGGTTTCTAAAACGTTGATGAGTCAAACTTTCAAGAAATGGAGTGATAAATATGAAGATTCATTGGAATCCAAATTAGAGATGAAACTTTCTGAATATAATGCAAATATTGAGAAACTGAAGTTATCTAGCATTTTCAAAACTTGGAAAGATCAATATGAATCATATTTATCTCAAGAAGAGCTTTTCAAAGAAGAGTTCCTAGGTGGATTATATTTGAAACCAACATTTGAGAAATGGATTAACAAATTCAATTCAATAAGAGAAATGGAAGACAAAGCTGATGATGTTAACAATGTGAATTTATTATCAACTGGTTTCACTAAATTTCAACTGGCTTTTCTAAAAATTGAAGAATTGGAAAATAAATTGATTGAATTCGAAGATGATGCTAATGTGAAATTGATTCTGAAATATGTTAATACTTGGAGTTTGAGATTATTGAAAGTTAAAAGAGATAATGAAAACATTTCAAGTTTCCAAAGAAGATGGAATAGAGCTCATTGTAGAGCTATTTTGTTATTATGGAAAGGGAAAGTTCTGGACAGACAAATTTCAAAGTTCAAAGATGTTGATGAAGTAGATGAAGAGGAAGAGGATGATTCGCCAACAAAATTCAAAAGCACATTTAACTCGGTCCTTCCACAAGAAACACCGAGAAAGTCCATAATTCATGCAAATTATTCATTCAATTCGGATCTAGGTGATAAATCGCCTTTAGCCTTCGGTACAAACAAGAAAACAACAACAAGTATACCCGGTAGTGAAAGGATCAAAAGAAAAAGAATTGAAGCTTTGAAAAGTCATTATAGTCAAATAAAGTATGCAATACCAAGTCCATTAAAATCTGAAAGAAAAATCATCAATAATAGCAGTCAAAGTTCCAAGAGATTAGATTTTACTCAACATACACCAAGAAATCAATTTTTCCAAACTCAATTCAATCAAAGGAATTCAAATAATTTCCAATATGGTGCTGAATTGGATGATTCATTTTCAACAGAAATTAATGAAGATCAAATATCAAGTCCAGTAATATCTCATCAAAAGATTAATCAACAATTTTTTAATCGGTATGTTTCAAAAAATAGATCCGATTCCGATGGTGGGTTTAAAGGTGTTTAAATCAATGCAAACCACCCTTTGCTTACTTCATCGCTTTTCCTAATAGCGACAAATTTTGATTTGACAGGACTTTGCGGTACTTTATGATATAGAATTTGTATAAACACATGTTCTGAATGACTGAATGATTATTGAAATCTAGATCTTTTTAGAGTATGAAGCTTTCGATTACTGTCCAAGGTCCGCTACTTATCACTTTAACCATAGACTAGCTATTAGAATACATCAATATCAATAATCATGACTCATGAAAATGAGTGATCAGTGTATACTAGTGGCTGCTGCTAGCTCCAGTAGCTACACGAAGCTTATATTCAAAGACCGCGCCCAAGACCCAGTTAAAGTTAAAACACTTTGCGTATAGTAATATGGTGAATACAGATTTTCTTTGTAGCTCATGACAAATCGAAAACAAGAACTTTCGTACAAAGTCTTAAATCTATTATGCAGAATTGAACATTCAACGCTTAAGTTGAACTGGCCCATTTTAAACTAATAAAGCATTAGTAGCTTCAGCACATACAAAAAAAATTTCTACTTGTACGAGCGTCTTCTACCGAGGAGAAAAGCGCGTTAGTTGTATTTTCACCGAAAAGGCATTAGGCAGTTGAATTCGAAGTCTATGGACTGGTTTAGAGCTAGTCAAACACCTTCAAAAGAAACAGGATAGCCAACGATCATTTGATCAGTAACCAATCTACAAAAAATACACTTTCTGTATTTGTAAGAAAACTCATTTATATTTTTCGGGTTTAGCTTTTGGTCGACTCAAGCCGTTCGGGTTTTTTGCGCTGTGCGGATTTTAAACTTAATCCCGAAACCCTTCCTCCAGAGGGTCGGCCGAGTACTGTTGTGTGCTGTGCAGAGGAAAAAAAGAGAATGCTGGATATAAAACAAATCAATAATCTCGTTCAAGTGAAGTTATTTGTGAGAGGAATGTGTATATGTACTACGTATACAATCAGAGTATTCATATTGTTCAGTTTTAGATACCCGAGTGCTTCATATCAATCTCAGTGAGCAAGAACAAGTGTATCAAGGTTATTTATAACATCCATCAATTACTTTGCCTCAATACATGAAAATAAAGCGCAGCCAACAGGGTTTACATACAACGTTGAAGATAATATAAATTAAACATCAACTACAAACAAACCCCAATTAAGATGATAATGACAAGAGCCTTTTCCCTATCGACCTTTGATTATAATGGTCGTGAAAACTCATCAAAAGCTTTAATTAAAGGTAGTTCAGAAGATAATGACCCATTGAAGAAAAGTGCTTCTAGAGTATTAAAAGCTTTATTATTCCCATTCCCTTCCAATGCTTCCACATATAAACAGGTGCTTAATATCATGAAGATGGGCTCCGCTGAAACAGAAGCAAAAGCAGAAGAGAAGAAAGAAAAATCAGAACCAATACAACAACATGGAAAGACTTTACAAACTAAAAACATTCAAAAGATTACAAGAAATGATTTGATAAATGGTACTTATGATTTGAATCCAAAACCAATAAGAACAAGAAGTACAGCAGATAGAGCTAGACGTCATCATCGTCATCACCGTCATCATCACCATAATGAAAATGGTGAGATTGTTCATCGTTCAAGATCTAAAACTTCAACACCCAATTCAATCAAATCACCATCATCAAGTATTTCACCAGAAATAAGGAATATAGCACATATTGATGATGATGCTGAAAAAAATGAAATGTTTATGGCTGCTCATGAACAAGTGATTAAAGATCAAATGAAAAAATCTAAACGAGCAAGTGATTCAGAATTACTATATCAACATACACATACTGATGATGGGACTTTGACAGTTCCAGTTCATAGAACAGTGACTTTAGACTCTGATGTTTCTGATTATTATTCAAGTTATGAAACTAATTGAGAGAGTACAGTCTATTCATCATTTCAACATATTCATCATTCTGCATCAATCATTTCTATGTACATACTTTTCAATTCTGGCATTTCACAAGGTTTCCTTTCATGATTTTAACGACATTTATTTATGGGTGGGTTTTTTTATAAACGAATACTACAACATTTACTTCGTTTACATTTTGTTTATTTGTAGTTTTGGGCCATGAAATAATTTCTTTTTCCTTTCGCGAAGCTCATCACCAAATAATTTCACTAAACGAGATCCGACCCATAGTTAAGATTGTGTCACACCGGTTCTCTCGGGTCTCGGAAACTGAGGGCGAAAGAGAAAAAACCAAAACAAATATAAACAACTTTGAATCCAGAGAAGAACCTTTGTAACGTATTAAATGCTGGTTTAATATTACTAAAAGATGAAGATACAGTCGTCTGTTTTGATACTGGTCCTTTATGTGGCTAGAGGGTTGGCAATACCGCTCACGCCAACTAGAGATGATGGCAATAAAGTTGCTGAAGATGCTGATGATCAAGATATATTTACATTAAATCTAAATGATGATTATTTTGAAGAATATAACACTAATGATGATGAAACAATGAATTATGTCCATAATGAACTACCTAATTGGCAACTCAAAGAATTACCACCAATTAAAAAGTTTCCTATAATGCAAACAGATCGAACTTTAAAGAAAGGGGAAATTCCAAAATATGTACTTGATCATAATCCATTAGTTCATTTATACACTGAGGAAGAATACCTACCTTATGATATTGAAGATTATGTCAAACATTTCCATCTACAATTCAGAAACCAATCAATTATACAAAATTCAAGTTTATCATTACAAGAGTTAGGTGAATATTCTCATAACTCTTCAATCGATACTAGTGAAACTTTCCTAACTTGTGATTTTGAATTCAAAGACGACCCTGAATGGCTGACTGGTAAAAGAAACAAACCAAATCTGTCAACTGGATTAATCAAAGATGCACCATCTGTGTTGATTGTTGTGGACAAAGGTAATGGATGGGTTGATGCATATTGGTTTTATTTTTATTCATTCAATTTAGGTCCATTTGTAATGGGTGGAGGTCCTTATGGTAATCATATCGGTGATTGGGAACATTCATTAACAAGATTTTTTCACGGTGTGCCAATTTTTGTATGGATGTCAGCTCATGGCGGTGGCGGTGGATATCATTATAAAGCATTAGAAAAATCGGATGTTGATTCAAGAAAACCAATAATTTTCAGTGCAAGAGGTACTCATGCTAATTATGCTTCTGTGGGACAACATTCACATGATTTACCATTTGGTATGCTTTCAGATTTTACAGATAGAGGTCCATTATGGGATCCTTCTAAAAATTATCTTGGTTATACATGGGATGGATCTAATCTAACACCAGTTAATAAAGAAAGTAAACCTGATAATCAACGTGAATTGGAATATGGTGATTGGTTATTATATAAAGGACACTGGGGTGATGATAAACTAGATCCAAAAGATCCAAGACAACGTTGGTCACCATTTGAATGGAAATACATTGAAGGTCCAACTGGTCCTTTAACAAAACATTTGAATAGAGTTAAATTATGTCAAAGATCTAAATGGTGGAATTTTTGGCATGGTTGTCCTCCAAAGAATTTTATTAAAGTTGGTGAAGGTGTTGAAAAAGAAGCTGGTGTGGTTTGTGCTAACCTATTTGGTTGGGTAAGACCTGCTTTATTACGTGATTTTTTAGAGAATTTGACATGGGGTGGTGGTTTATGCTACATAATGAATTGGAGATGGGGTTGATTGGATGAAACAGAGGTGGTGGAATTATTTAATGAATTTTGATGACATATACAAAAGGTTTGGGTCTTGATTATAGGTACGGGGTTTAATTAGAATGAGTTTTTTAATAAATTTGACTGTAGCGTAACGTGTTTCGCCATTCGTTTAGGATGTCTGCTGTGTAGCTGTGTAGCTATTTAACTCAGCAAAACTCTGAATTGAGTTTAGAGACTTGACAGATAACGGTTGAAAATATTAAACAGCTTAAATTTTAATCACAGCGTAACTTGACATAGCAATTGTTTAGTTATTCTTTGATCTAGATTCTAGAGCCACTAATCCTTGCCTGAAAAGGGTCTAGCTTCGCGAATGTCAAGCAAGGTGTTAATTGATAAGAGGCCACCCCCAAAGCCCACGCATACGACAGAAACAATCGCAATCTAAACAACATCGAAACTTTGAGTTAACTAGTCGTTCGAGGAAGAGCCTGGAAACAAGCCATCTTCTTGCCTTTTACCCCTTTTCATCTCGTATTCAACTCTCTTTGCTTATCGTATTGAAAGCAGTGAAACCGTTGACATCAGTATCTGCCACACCTGAAAGGGCGATCCACAAGTGTTGAAAAATAATTTATAAGCTCGAGGCGTCCTTCCGTGTTCCATTACTTGCCAACACCCATCAACCACAACTTATAGAAGAGAATAAAACCTATTAGCTCTTGAAGCTCAGTACCCAAAATTACAGAAAATAAAGAATTTTTGCTTATCACAATGACCAAACAGCCAGCTATTCACCATGACTCACATGTTCAAAAATCACTAGAAACTTTTGGGTCAATCCTACAAAACCAAACTAGTGCCATTCATCATTTAGTAAACCAATATAAGCATTCACAATTCAGTCAGAATCAATTGAAGAAATCATTAAATATACTAAACACTGCCTTATTGAAAAATGGGAAAATTGTGATATCTGGTATCGGGAAATCTTATAAAATTGCTGCAAAGACTGTCGCCACAATGAACTCTTTAGGAATGCATTCAGCTTTATTACATCCTTCAGAAGCATTACATGGTGATCTTGGTATTTTGAGAAAAGAAAATAATGATTGTTTGATAATAATATCATCTTCAGGGAAATCTCCAGAAATATTACAATTACTACCTCACATCTCTTATGAAATACCCATCATCTTGTTAACAAATAAGAAGAACTCCATATTATCCTCACATCCTCAAGTTAAATCATTACTTTATGCTGAACTGCCTTCTCAATTAACAGAACAAAGCATTTACGGGTTAACTGCTCCAACAATTTCAACTACATTATGTCTAACTTTAGCAGATGCAGTTTCGATCGCATTGGCTGAACTTCATGTTGCTGATTTAAGTGAAAGGAAAAGAATATTTGGTGAAAGACACCCTGGTGGTGCAATTGGTGAAGCGTATGGAAACGTTTTATCTTCACATAATTCCTCAATGCTGAATACTCCAAGTTATAGTTCAAGCTCGTTAAGTTCTGGAACAGGTTCAAACTCAAATTTTTCTCCAGCTTTAAATCCAACTAATTCAATCAGCTCAGATGATGATGAACCGAAATTAGAAGATTTACCTAAAGTTGTTTTCGATATTGGTTATGAAAATGATGTTCAAGGTCAAGAATTAATTAGAGCTGCTAAAGAATCAAAAAATGTTGGCCAAATTTCTGGGTTTTTCAAATCTGAAGAGGAGATTTTACAAAGTATTGTGCTTTATGATTTCGTGGTATTCAGTCAATCGTTTGTTATTGCATCTGATCGTTTAAAAGAGGTTTATAAACTGGTTCATGAGCATCAATATGAGAATTCTACTGACAAATTTGAAGAATTGAAATGGAGAATCAAGGAGAACTTGTCTAGGTATTATTAAATCTACTGATCAATCCCGTGACTGTTGGTCAAACAAAGATGAAATATGAATATCAAGTAAGATCAAGCTTGTTCACCCAGGAATTTGACAAAATTGCCTAATCTTCTAAAGCATGTTTAAACCTCGGCCTGATATATCATCCAAGCTTTAGAGAGAAGGTGATCAGGTCGCGGACAACGTCATCACCACCTTTAAATAGACTACTTACTACTATTCAAGTTTTACATTTCTTAAGAATTTCAATTTTGAACATTTATGATGAAAAAACCAAAACATCAAAAAAAATCAAAAATATCAATATAAAACTATATACATATGATTCAAAAACAATCAGTCTTGTAGATATACCAAAAAAAAGAAGGAAAATAAAGGAATTAAAGCCAAATTTTGCCGGCAAAAAAATAAGAGTTCTGGACGAGACCGGAGTCGAACCGATGACCTTTTGCTTGCAAGGCAAACGCGCTACCAACTGCGCTACACGCCCTAGATACTGAAAAATTGGTGCTTATCTACATCATTTGATAAAGCATCTCAATTTCGGATATTACCGCCGCTTAAGTATTTTTGATTGATTCATAAGCTATATTCTTAACTTTGAGCACTCTTCTGTTCTATAGAGCTATACCAAGCCGCTCAAATTGTTTTTATTAATATGATACATTACATTGTTTTTCAGAAAAATTACAATTGAAAAAAACAAGCTGGAAACGTGCAAACCGCAAACCCATCTGAAGCATATTAAATGAACTATGTAGAATGGGGCTTTTAACACTACCTCTTTGAGAAACAAAATTGGCACTGAATCCTTCCAGCCTTTCCAGGCCATTCCACCACCTTTAGTGCACACACTTCTAATTATGAATTGCTCTATTGCAGCTTTTGATAATTTTGAAGGTTTCTGCCAAGTTTTACGTGTCATCTTCAGGTATCTCACAAAAAACCGAAAACATTCAAGGAAGAATAATAACGAAAATTACTAGACGACTATAGGGAATTTTTATATATACCTACTCTCAAGCTTCGGTAATTTTAAAAAAAATGACATTTTAGCACAAAAAAAGGTATAATATTAAAAGTTTGAATCCAAAAAAAATATTTTAATATTGAAGAGTACATCGTAATACTTAAATTTAAATCAAAAACTCCAATATAAAAACCAGTAATTTTTGAGATGGCCAATATCTAGCTCATTAGAATGAGAAATCTCCAAGGATATTTTTAGTATTAATAAATATTTAAGTCCAAAATCTTCAATTTACCCTTTGTTATTACATTAATACAATTTTGAAAAACGGTAGAGACACACATCGTGTCGATATTATGTGCTCAGTTCGACGCTGACACCTACCTACCTGTTAATTACAACCTCCATAAAGCTAAAAGAGCCATAGAAGTATGCAGAAAAAACTAAACAGCTACGTTGGAAGCTAAATTCAAAACTAGAATATGAAAGTATATAGACCGCGAGCTCAGATTATTATACAAATATTACTGCAATTTAAATAAATTCATTACCAAGACATTCTATGACCTCCAGTATTACCTTGACCATATGCACCATCACATTCCCCCTCTATATCACTTGAAATAAGCTCAAAATCTCAAAAACTCAACGTTTTATTCCAATGTCCAATCCTCACCATACTTAACAGAATTTAGTCACGTGAAAATGTGGCCGTAACGCCAAAATCCACTATACAAATCTCCAAATAAACAAATCTCAATAAAACCATCATAATCAATGATATCCACCCAGATAAACACACCAAGTAACATGAAAACCTACTCTACAATTAAATGGGTTCAAAAATACATGTATTTTGGCCTCAAAATACCTATATTAACCCAGTATTGTCCAGTAGTAATACCGCCAGTTCAAGCAACCAACAACACTAACAATAACAACCACTCAAAACAAACAGACACAACAACAACCAATGTAGAACCTAATCATTAACATCCAAAACAAACCACCATCTCAGCTAGCTGGTCATATTAAAGCTACGTAGCTTGTAATTATATCACTTTGTAGTCATGTATGCACGTCTGCACCTCACTAATTAGAAATATGCCACAAAAACAAAAACTGTTTCTCAAATCCACGATTTTGGGATTTTTGAAAAAAAAAATCAAAATGCAATCGAAAAATCGTTTTGGCAACTTTCCATGGCAATTGGTCTTTTGGGAAAATTTCTGTGTTTTTTTCAAAAAGTGCTGAATTGACCATTTTCCCATACAAATTTTTGATCCACCTGTATAAATATAACTTCGAATGATTTATTAAAAGAGTTCAATTATATAAAAAGGAGCCAAACTAGATTGTTATATAGATCTCATTTGAGGCACTAATGTGAGTCAATACTTCCTTTGATGACTGCATTAGGAATAAACAATGGAAGAATACTTTACCGAATGATTCATGATTGTACCATTGGATACCCAAATGGGAAGTAGACAATGGAGTATTTGGTATAGTAATACACCACCATACATACTGCAATAAACACAAAATCAACCAATACACCTTTAACATGTGCACCTGTTACCACACAAGTAGTTCTATAGTCCTATTCAATCCTCCAGCTTTTGTTTGGCCAATATGAGAGACATTGAGTTCTGTTGCAAATTGTAAAATGATGTGTGTAATTCTAATCCAAAAACTTCACTTTTTATCTTGAATTTTTCAAAAAAAATCGCGAATGGCGTGGCCTTACCGGTGAAATATGCATGTATGCTATCTGTAGATTTTAGGTCATTAAACAACATTAAACAAGAACTAGAAGGTGTAAATTGTATTAAAATGATCCCAGGAGTGCATAGAGAGCACATAGGAAGGCGCGAATTTAGTGCTTTTTTAGAAGCGGCCAAAATGATGTTAAAATGGTAGTCGTGAGAGCATTGGGATAAATGGGCTGGATGAATTTTGAAGTACATAATGAGTTTTCTTGGGAAATTATTCCTCAGTGTCTTTCTAAAATCGAAATATATTTCCTTGAAAGTAAAGGAAGTATCGTTTGTTTGGCTGTATCCTGTGCTTTTATTCTCCAATATAAACCGCCCAGTTTAAATATTGACTATATAACGCTTATAATGAAGCAAATGTTTGAGCGCCTGCTACTATGTGTCAAGTTATAGTATTACCAAATAAAGCATATATGTAATAGTGATCAATTATATTATATGTAACGAGTGAGGTCTTCGGTTTCTGTAGACTTCTGAGAGATTTGATCAATAACATGTCGTCGTGCTGTAATTGACAACACGATCGTGAGCTAGTTAATTAAGTATTAGTTATTGATCAATTCCAGAATTTCATCATGATTCCCTCCCCTTAAAAGCATATCTTTGTCTTTCTATTAAAATATTGTATACAGAGAAAGGTTGAGTTTTTAAAATTTGCAAAATCTTTTTTCGTGATAGCCCTGAAGCATTGAAATATGAGCTTTCAAGTGGTGTGAACGTATGAGCCAACTCTGTGGTATTCTAACAAGCAATGATTGTGCTCTATTGTGTTTTCCTGAGTTTTCTGGCTACCAAGGTATTTCACGATTTATAGTACCCAACACTTCGAAATACCAATATAGTCATTAGTTCTTTAGCATTTCCAATTCACCGAATCAAGACACCAGACACCACCAGTAGATGCTTCATTTATTGAAGCTAAATATGAACATTAAAACTTCCTTATCTACTGGACTTTCCCAAACCTCAGCGTATGTATTTCTAAAGAAATGACTGGGTGGTATTAGGTGTCGTTGGTTTCTCTTAGAAACATTGAGTCTGTAATTGCATTAATTCAAAACTGCTTTGGTTCATAAATAACCATTCAATTTTTGGAGCGCATACTATCTCCATATATAAAGTTAAAAGGATAAAATATAACCAACTAAATAATAAAGATCATCTTGGTTCTTGAAGTTGATTTGAGTAGCTTTTCGTAGACGTTGATGTAGAAGATGCTGAAATATGTTAAATTTTGACTTTTGACGTTTGTTTCGCGGCTGCATATTCTTAATCGGAGGTCGGAAGCACTAAAATGTCAAATTTAAACAGCGATAACAGGAGAATTATTGTAAAAGTAGTACCTAATAATTTATATCATTTATCCTGACATCTAACCGAATCGTTCCATGTAGGTCTAATGTTACAAAGATTGTTTTTCCGTTTCGGCTTTATTTTTTTTTTTTTTTTTAATGTATCTGATGTGTATTTATAAAATGCTAAAATAATGTACAAAATCACTCGGGACTCAGTCTATGACTGAGACTGATTTATAATAAAAGGTACTCGACGAATAATAAGATTATAGAATTACAATTATATATAGCCAATTATGAATAATTCATATTGACGTCGAACCGATTCGTTCCATGTAGGTCTCATGTTCGAAATAATTTTTTGCCCCTGCTTTTAAAATTTCTATAATAATATTTAGATATTAATATTGATCAGTATGTAATTAATAGCATAAATTATATCAGCAGTTAGCTGGTGGGATTGATCACTCGATAAGCCTAAATATATATTACTGGAACAGATGATGATTTGCTGGTTTCTCACTTGGTCGTCGACGTTGTCGGAGGGTCGACGCGGCGTCGATATTATTCAAGCATATAACTAGATTTATTATTTTAAGCTGAAAAGCTGCGCAATATTCCAACATAATAGAAGCCTACAATCCAAGCGGCTGGTGCGTAAATGCATTCCTCATCCAAGTTCATCATTAAATAATTATACGTTTATAAGTAATTAACGTCTAATTAAATCCTGGTCAGAACATCAGACGTGTTCATGAACTAATAATTTTGACCATGATTATATTAATCATCACATACGGCCTCCAGCAGTTAATGTAATATATTTATATATATTCACTTATAAATTAATGTCATTGCATTCTAGATTATATACATAAACTGGTTATCAATCCCCAAATTATAGGACATTTTGTTTGAATGTTATGAAGCTATACTAGTACAATATTGATATCACAACAATGATAAAGGGAGACCATAAATCACAGGCGCTGCTCCATTTAGAAATCTCAATTTACACTCATCCCTTGAAAGTCTGACAGCATCGCTAATATTCATAGACTTTTCAACCTGACTTGATGAAAGTCCCCATTTTTTCAAAAGGGAAAGGCTGAACTTATCAATATCTTTATCTGTAACATCCCACAAGTTTCCTAATATCATAGGACAGCCACCAACAAGGTATGAATAAACAGTTCCATATGGCTCAAGAAAATTGTTATCACGCAAGGCAGCAGAAGAGCAACCCAAAAGTAGTGATGGTGCAATTTTATCCATCTTCTTTAGCGTAGTTGACCTAATAAACTGTTCACCACCACCGTGTCCAATATAGACAAATAAATTGGAATCATGCACATACTTTGCAAATTCATCTTCAGAGGGTTTCTTACCAATCATTCCTTTCCAATTGTGGTTTTGACATAGGTCTTCAATTTGTTCTTCAAATCTTCCTTCAGTCTTTACTAAATCACCACTAGGATTCAATACGAAAGAACCATTTCTTTTATTGACAACCATTTTTTCATTTTCCCCTAAAAGGTTTAGCAGCATACTCAATGATGGCATTCTTGTTGTTGAGGATCCTCTCAAACTTGGAAGTGATTCCCATGGAATAGACTGACATTCTTTACCCACAATCAAAATGGTGTGTTTGTATTTAGGTGGTGCAGGGTTCATCATTAAATATTCCTTAATCAAAGCTTCCACTTCAACATATATGTTATCAATATCAATTTCATCATATGCATTTTCTTCACCATGAAACAAAAGAATGTCCAAAACAAAGTAGATCAAATCCTCTAATAGTTCAGTGCTAACCAACTCCGATGGATCACCTAGACTGAGGAAAAGCTCGATTATAAAATCATCAATTTGAATAGAATAGCTATTTTGGTTTCTTTGACTTCTTGAAGGAATATTTTGTCCTAATATTCCCAAAAACTTTTCTCTGAATTGTGACTTTTGCTCCAAGTCCACTTTATTCTGATTGAAAATACCCTTGAAACCTCCTATCCAACAGTATTCAATTTTGTCAAGAAATTCACATAGCTTAATATCGAGATCATAACGCTCTTGATGCCATTTTTGTCTATCTTCTAATGTGTTGATTGATGAAACCCTTACTTTGCTTGTTGTTTTATTGCTTTCTTCGATGATGGTTCTCAATTCCTTCATAGCGTCCTCAAATGAAAATGACTCTTCATCAATAGTACGACTTGAATGTCTGCTCAAGGGTAACCTCAATAAACTTGGTGCTTTCATACCTTTGTTAATCTTTGATATCAACAGATCACCATTAAATGAACAGACATCAACACTTATTACCAGCCAATCCTCTGGAATTTTCTCCATCAAGTTTGGATCAACCACAGATTGATCCAGAAGCGATATGTTAACACTACCAAGGACAAAATTAGGCAACAGGTCGACGGTTTTGGATGTTGCTTCAATCAACTTCTTCTCATTGACAAAAGGATTATTCTTCAAATATTCTCCCAAGTTAAACAGCTCGTCTAATAATTCATTGCTAAAAGTATTTGAAATACTTGACAATGTTAGCAATCCCAAAGCAAAAATTTTGTGAACCTCATCAACTTGATAATTAGCCATATAATTCAATTTTCCAAACAACTCCAAAATAAAATTTTTTGACTGTCTCAATTCTAAAATAGATTTCTTGATATTTCTCATGCTCTTGGTTTTACCTTTGACAGAGTATGAAGCCTCAGGTACCTCATGATCTTGAAAGGTTGATGGGATAGACATAGCAGAATCTTCCAATGTGGAGAAAACTGGATCAATTTCTAATGTTCTTTTAGCACTAGTGAATAGCCTTTTGCAATTGATGATATAGTTCATTGCATGCAAATAAGGATCCTTTGATTTGTTGATAGTTAAATCAATCAGTTCAGCATTAAAGTGATATTCATAATGTAGTCTCCAAAGATTAGATAGCATTTTACCTTCTTTCTCAACATATGATAAAAATGATCGAAGTTTTTGCCTCACTTCAACTTTGGAATCAAGATTCACATCATAAATCTTAGCCAGGTAATGATAGAACACAACTTTGTAGTTATCAACAGGGTTATCATCTTCAAATAAACCCAACATTTTGAAAATTTTATCAGATTTAGCTCTCAAGTCTGAAAGTTCTTGATACCTGGCAGTAACATAAAGGTAATAACAGATAAAGTAGTTGTTTTGAACATACAAAGGCTTGTGCTTCATAATAGATTCATTGAGCTTCGTGAACTCCTCAATATAAAAATCAGCATCTTTTGAAGCTCCAAGATGAATGAGGGTACTTATCAAATGTCTAAAGCTGGAGCAGAGAAATGAAAGTACTTGAAGATTTTCAGTATCCTTTTTAAGAATTGATCTGGATAATTGCGCACAAACCTTAGCAGATGCAATAGCAGCCATATGATTCCCGAAAAACTTAAAAAGTTTCGCACTCTGATAATGCAGCTTTGTCAGAAGTGATATGATATGCTTAAACTGTTTCTTTGGATAGGAATTCTTGTTTGCTGCACTGAGGAGATCTGGATTTTGTTCAATAACACGTTCAATATCTACCGCAGTTTGACTCAAAGCATTTTTGTCAGCCAATACCAAATGATATTTAAGCTTCAATACCAAAAATTCCAAACGCCGTATTTTTGCATCTGTTGGGCTCTCAAAATCATTTTCTGCTGTGTCAGGATCTAGAGCTTGCACATTCATAGACATGATATCCTTCATTGATATTATATTGTCTAGATTCTCAATTTTATACCATTCTTCAAACCCATTACTGTTTAGTGAGTTATATTTGGAAATACCACGTAGCAATTCATTGAGTGATTTTTGAAAGTTGATAAACTTCAAATAGTTAACCATTTGTTCAAGAAAGTGTAGCTCAAATAAGGTAGGCTCTTCTTTATTTATAATTAACCAGCTATTTTTGTATAAATGCAAGATCTTGGTGATGTTCAATGTTGATTTGGTCTTCATCTCTAATGTCAAATAGTATGCACTCTTAAGCAAAGTGCTGGAATGAACAGCTGGTTGACTTTGTGGATGCTGAGCATGAACATAAGGCACATCAGAATAATAAACCCCGCAAAACATCTGAAAAATAGGTTCCTCTATATCGAGTGATTGATAAAATGCTGACAACTGTTCATTTTGGGAGTACTTGGAGCAAATGGCAAAAGTAATTGCTCTATTTTCTTGACTTAAATTCAAAAATGAAGTTTGAGCGAATGGGAAGAATTGGAAAGTGTTCGAAAAAAATTCATCAAGTAAATCAAGCTTCTGCAAAAGATCTGTTTGAGTCAATCCATCCATGAAATCGTTATTCCAAACAAGGGTGAAAATTCTTTCAACGGGAAGGTTTTGTGAAATAACATATCTCAATGATTTTTCAAATTTAGTTGACAAGGCTTCAAGGGTATGCGTCTTTTGATAAAAATGTCGCTCAATCTTTAAACAGCACATCAAAAAGCTTTCAACATATGCTGGACTTTTCATCTTCAAAGCAAAATTGTAAAACAAATTTGAGACATTCTTCAGCCGTTTTGACTGATCATGTTTTATAAATAATTTTTGTAACACCATGAAAGCTGTCTGTAGAAATTCAGGAGATGAAATGAAATTGGTTGAGCTCATAACAAATTTATCCAAAACAGGAGAAGTAAGTTTATTGACATTATCAGTATATGTCAAATAATACAATATTATACTCTCAAGATCATCTGATGGAGACTTCATCGAGCTTAAAATGTATCCACCTAATTTTTCATGTAGCTCAGCAGTTGGTCTCCCAAAGGTATCAAGCTCTGACCTTACCAATGCAATATTGACTCGAGGCAGAGAAAGCAATTTTGCAAGATTGTTTGAAGAGCCAACATCTGGAATTATCAAGTTCCATTTCAACTCTGGAAAGACCCCTTCAGATTGGAAACCTTTAAAAAGCCTCACAGCTTCATCAAATATCTGATTATGTTCAGTTTCCAAATACTTAAATAAAAAAATGGGTATCAAACCAAAGTCATTCAATTCCATGATTTCTTTTTGTATAGTTGATGCAAAATTTTCCTCTGATAGGTTTGTGATAAAACTCTTGAAATTTAAACCAAATTGGTGAATATATTGTAAAAACTTTAAATTCAAACATTCTTTAAACTGTGTTGATGGTGAAAGTTTCACGAATGATAATAGTAACTTTACTATGGAGGTCTTTTGGTTAGAGGCCAAACCTTCAAGGAAACTTGAATCATTTTCAAAAAATTCCAGTATCTTGGGTAAATAGTTGAAATCACCTTGTTGGAATTGTTTGAACAACACTTGTAGAACCAAGAACTTTAAGGATGTTTGTGATTTCTCTAGCAATACCGCATCGATTGGATCTTTGTCATCAGGGGTTGCTTGCTGATGGGCAGCTTTAATTTCCCTTAATGCAATAAAATAACTATCATGTAACTCATCTTCTAGTTCTATCAATTTCAATATATAAAGTTGATGTTTTTTGAACACATCTTTCTTTCTATCCAGTATATTGAGTTTATAAAGTTGAGTAAATGCCGAGGACGCCAACCTCAAAAACGAAGAATTCAAAGATTTAACAGACTTGAAGTTCTTTAACACTATATCTATTGAGTTGAGACACAATTTATGGATTTCTTGAGGGCTATTTGTGATTATATTTGATCGTTTCTGTGGTGATATTGGCTTCAATTTTGCTGGTGAATTCAAGTTCACGTCTTTCAAAGGCAGACTGTTCAACTTTAGTGAAGCATAACTGGATATTATATAATCCAATTCATTGTCCATTAGTGGCTAAGTTAATTTTTTCTCTGATCTTGCAGACTATGCTCTTTCTGAATTTTGTAACAACCTGTTTACATTTTCGATCTCAAATGTTTGATTTTATTTCGGTTTCGGGGACACATCAAAACAAATCTAGACTTCCGAATTAAGAAATAAAAGGGTATCTACATATCCAAGAAAATAATACATAACATCATTTTAGATCAATCTTTTTGAAAAGTTGGGAATTTTAACCCATGTTGCCCTTTATAATTGGCAACTTCTGGGGATTTCCAATTTTTCAAAACTGCATCATCAGTGATTTTGTAAACTTCGATACCTAATGGTCTGCAACAATCAACCATATCGACTTTAGTATCTTCGTCACCTTCACCCCAATCCCAAGCACTTAAATCACCACCTGGACAAGCACTAATTGCACATAACAAATCCACTTCAGCAAAAAATTCAAAATAATCACCAGAAACAGCTGGACAAGTTTCCATATAATACCTACCTTCTTTATCTAAACCCGTAACCTGGAAAATGTTCAATACATCATGAACATCGTATTCAGTACCACCATATGGGATGATAGAACGATACAAGTTTGAATGACAATGAAAATCATTATCTTCACCACTCAAGACTTTGTCAACATATGGATCACATCTAGTTCCTAACAAATCATGGATTTTTTGAATGTTTAATCGATCTCTAATTGAATCACCAGTGATTGTTAATAATGGTCTTAAGTATGGTAGGTTTGACCATAATCTATCATATTTACCAACATGGGATCTTTGCAATTGTCTTGTTCTTGAAGCCCAAAATCTTTCTCTAAAATTATCAGCATTCCAACAGTTGAAATCACAAACTTGTGGGCCTTCCGGTGTAGTGATTCTAACAATTGAACCTGCTTTAACTTTCCATGCTTTACCTGATCTAATTGGGACTATTTCTTTATAAGTCAATTCACGAGCTTTTGTATTGGAAATTGAGTCATAGAATTCTTTATCAACGTCAAGGATTGAACCTTTTGTTGGAAGATAAGCTGGAGTTGGATTTTCAGAGTGTGGATACGCTGGTTTTGACATATTGAAGTTTAAATATTCAGTAGTTTAATATTTGAATTCTTAAGAAAGCGTTTCTAGGTGTTGATCTCTTCGACGGTTTCAAAATTTATACCCTTTCGATGTCGAATATGTTGTCGGAGTTGAAAAATTATGTCCTCCAGGACGGATTACGGGAATCGCATTCCGTCGAAAATTCCGCTGGAATTTCTGCAGAGCAGTCCATAAAGAGTCCATACAAAAGATACTATGAACTCATCCTTCAAATGTCATCGACTTGAGTACGTCTTGAGTACTACTCAACGATTTGATAAATAAGCAAAGTCATAAACTCATTCAAAATATGTATCATATATACTTAAAAAACATTCAAAATCATTTCACATAAAGCCAGTTAATGAATTATTCCCCAAGTTTTGATAATGTACTTTTCGATCTCGAGTTTGATAATAATTCATCTTTTGAAGCTCTTGTTAAAGTATCAGTTAAAATGCTTAGATATGGAGCTTTATCACCTTTACCATTGTTGTTAGTAACATCTGTGAAATAGTTGTTGTAGAAATCACCATTATAACCACCTAATGAAGAGTTGATAATCTCATCTGGATATTTGAAAGCATCAGTTAAACCAACTAAGTGTGGTCTCAAGTCTCCCAAGATTCTCTTGATTTCAGCTTGAATGTGAGTTAATCTTGATGAATCCAAAACATCAAATTGTAAGAATGAGCCAGCAAACTTATCAATGAAGTAATAAGAGTACAATTGGTAAATTGATTTCAAAACAGTCTTTTCTTCACCAGAGACATCACCAGATTGTAAACGGTTGTAAAAAGTTTCCAACAAGTAACGGTGGGAATGTGCCTTAGATAACAATAAACGTTCTTGTGAAACTGATTCCCAATCACCGTTATAAATTAATAAAGCATGTTGAGCAACTTTGATAATTAAAACTGACCAAATATCAATTAATGATTTCAAATCATCAGACTTCAAGTTCTTGTCAAATTTTTGAGTCAAGTACAAGAAATCAACACCCAACTTGGCACCTTTTTGACCAGCTTGATAGTATTTAATGATTGATCTACCAGCATTAATAGCTAAAACGTTATTATCACCTTCCCAAGTTTGTTGGACCGACCAGTCAACGAAACCACGACCAAGACCTGAATAGGCATGATAACCATGACCACCACATGCTTGTCTTGATTCATCAATCAATTGGGAAGTTAACCAAGTGTTTGAACTTTTCAAAGAAGCTGAACTGACGAAAAGATTCTTCAAATCGAAAATGGTCTTTTTGATATCTTTTCCAGCATACAATTCACCCAAGATTCTATTATAATCAGCAATAACTCTTTGCGATGCTGGACCTAAGAGATAAACCAAAGCTAAATAAGGAACTAAACGATATTGATGTAAAGAGTAGTTGATAATTTGATTTTCTTCTTGTGGAGTACCAAACTGTTGTCTACCAATGGCATATCTTAGGGAAATAGTAATAAATCTTGCACCTTGTCTAAAAGAATCCAAAACCATAGTAACACGACCTTGTAATAAAGCACTATAACTCAATTGTTCCAATGGTGTTAAATGGACAGTACCATCAGCATCAATCTTTGTGAATTTTTGCAACAAATATTCTCTTGGAATTTCAACGTTATGGAATTGAATCCAACCATTATCAATAGCTTCTCTACCCATCTTCGAACCAATATCACCAATGGAAACACCTGGTAAAAGATTGAAATTTTTATCTCTCAATTGAACAACAAAAGGTTTAACACCATAATCTTCCCCTTTTGAAATTAATCTAGCATAAACAACCGCATGGTTTGATGAATGAGCAGCACCACCAATCCACCATTTTGTCGCTTTTAAATCTGGGGTATTGATGGTAAAAGTTTGACGGTCTGGATTGTAAGTTGCTCTAGTTTGCATTTGGGCAACATTTGAACCATGTCCTAATTCAGTCATAGCAAAACAACCATAGATATCTCTCAATTTCAAGGTACCTCTTTCATATAACCAATATTTGATTTGGTCATCAGTACCGTTACCTTTAATTGCATTACCGAAAAGATGGATATTGATGGCCAATCTAGTTGCAACGGCCGGATCAGCAATTGATAATAAAACCATTCTTTCTTCAAATTCATCAAAGTCTTCATTGTCAATATAGGCGGATAATCTTTCAATTTTTCTAGCTGATAATTCTCTTTGTTGAGCTTTAGTTAGATCATAGAAATTTTTTGGGGTTGACAAGATTGGATCATTAACAATCTCTCTGAATAATTTTTCAGTTTTTTCATGGTTAGGATCTAAGAAGGCATTGATCTTGTCAATGTTGATTGAGGTCTGAGCTCTTTCCTTTTGAATGAAGTTTGACATCTTTGATCGTCTAAATTTTCTTTATGTTTGTGAAACAAGAAACCAGTTTTGAAAAAGTGGGTCTATGAATGGCATTTATATAATTGAAGTACGATGGCTGATCCCTTGAACTTGCCGAGTATCATAAAACACCACGTAAGTGTACAAAGGTACTACCCCAGAGTTCGGTCGTCTTTTCTGACTCTATTTCCCCTCTGAAATCAACGTGTAGGTAGGACAATGCTTCTGTCGTTAATTGGCAATGGTTTTTTTGTGACAGTGTCCTCGGCAGAGGTTCTCCACCGAAAAAACACTGACGCGAACTAAAAAACTTGACAGAGCTCAGTTTGCCAAATCAACTATTTGACTCAAGACGACGATAAGATCACACCATAATGAACGAGAGAGCCTACAATGAATAGCTGCTAGATAATGGGCTGATCTATTGGTAAATCTATGTACATTGTTAATGTAGTTAGGTACTCTTGCCCCAGGTTTCAAAGGTCATTAAAATAATTGGTGAAGTGTATAAAATCACACTTCCGTCGGCTTATTTATGTCACATTTTGAGTTTGGCGCAAAAAGAGAGAGTTCCACTTTAGGAAAGGGTTATGAAGCACTGCTATCTGTCATATCAAAGGTTCAGGAAGACTCTTGAAATTTGGCATCTTCATCAACTTGTCAACAAAAGATTAAGCAAAATGACAAACAGAAACCCTCGTGGTGGACCTACTCAATAAAATGATTACTTTATGCTGTCACTAGTATCACTTCCGCAAAATATTTCCCCGTATGGGGACTCTGGTGTTATCATATAACCATCTTTATAAAAGAAGCTAACCACAAGGGTTATAAGCTCAACTCAAAGACAAGATGTATAAATACCATAATTACACCAAATAAACCATGCCATAAAGTTGCGAAAGAGGTGCTTAACTCCAGCTTTATCATTTTTCCCTTGGGAAATTGAACAACTATGTCGCTCAAACTCGCAAACAGAGATCCGATTCCAATCACTTTACTTTCAGGATTTTTAGGGGCCGGAAAAACGACATTATTAGAGCATATCCTTACTTCAAATCATGGGTTAAAGATTGCAGTGGTGATAAATGATATGGCTTCGGTTAATATTGATGCTGAGTTGATCTCAAACCATAAAGTCACAACAGTGAAAGAACAGTTGATTCAATTACAAAATGGTTGTATTTGTTGCACATTAAGAGGTGATTTATTAGAAGAATTAGCTTCATTGGCAAAAGACAATCAGTTCCAGTATATTGTCATTGAAAGTTCTGGTGCTTCTGAACCTATGTTGATTGCTGAAACTTTTACTCATGAATACTCTGAAATGTTAAAACAGTTGTACACAGATTTACAAAAATCTCACGAAAATAATGAAATTGTTGGGAATGTGGTTAAATTAGGAGGTTTGAGTGCAATTGCTACTATTGATACTTGTGTTACTGTTGTTGATGCTTTTAATTTCATTTCAAATTTTGAAACTGTGGAATTTGCTAGAGATGCAAATGGGGACGTACCTGAAAAGACACTAAGTGATTTAATGGTTGATCAATTAGAATTTGCTAATGTCATCATTATAAATAAAGCCTCTGCGGTTAATGCTGAGACTCAATACAAAATCAGGGAGGTTATCAACAACTTGAACCCATCAGCAAGGATCATAAGTACAGATTATTGTCAAATTGATGTTTCTCAAATCTTGAACACCAAAATGTTTGATTTCCACCAAGCTATGCATTCTTCGGGATGGTTAAAATCTTTTGAAGAAGAAATTGAAAGAAGAAAAGCACCACCAATCAGACACGAAAGTGAACTAGAATATGGTTTGAACAATTTTGTTTATATCTCTAAAAGGCCGTTCCATCCCGTCAGGCTATACAATTTTTTGGTTGACAAATTCATCCTCATTGAAGATTCATTCATCCATGAAAATGATCCAAACTCAATAATTATAAAGAAGAGAAATTCAGTTTTTGGATCCGTTGTACGTTCAAAAGGTTTTTTCTGGTTAGCTACAAGATTTTTAATGAAAGGTGAATGGAGTTGTGCAGGTTCAATGTTAACTTTGAAAAATGGTAATCCTTGGTTTTCTATAATGGGACAATATGACGCTAAAGAGGATATTTACAACAATGGCGATCTAATCAGCAGATTATTTGCAGATAGAAGACAAGAGATTGTATTCATTGGGCTATTCATGAACAAGAATGCAATTATTCAAGAATTGGATAAATGTTTAGTCAATGATCGAGAATTGATGGCTATTGAGAAGATTGTGTTTGAAGCTTCAAGCTATATGGAAATTGAAAATAATTTACAATTGCTGTTTGAAGATCCATTTGAAGAATGGGGAATCCATTTTGGTTCAGGTCCTGTTGATGTTGAATACGAAGAAGATGAAGATTTAATGGATGAAGAGATGGATACCCAAACCTAGTCTGTTTTTAGTATATTTCATAGATTGTTTTTTTTTGTGTGTCTTTGTGGATCAAATCTGTATTAGATAGTACAATAAATCGACAAAAACATGCCATGTGGTAATCACCTCTTTGACCAAATAAACGATGCCAGATATTCTGACCTCTTTATTAAATTAGCTATGACTTTGCACAGACATTCCAATGCTCTTTTCCCCGAGGACGCTTTTGATGTTACCACTTCAGATCAAATTTTTGTGCAAGGTATTTCAATGTTTGGGTTCTTGCTAACTGTGGTTCTGTCGGTAAATGGGAAGCTCAAGAAGATTTGTATGAAGATACACAATACTACTATTCAATTTACCACGGACTAACAAGTAATCAGTTTATTCGTTATTTAAATGTTCACCACATCATTTATTCACTCAAACGACAATTTCAAATAATACTGCCCACGGAATTAATCAAATTTCACCACCAACTAGTGAAACTGAATGGGTATCCAAAACTAATGATCTTGGGTCTTACTATAGTGGAATCAAAGATTTAATACCATATCCTGCTTTGTTAGTGCCTTTTTTGGCTTATTATTTTAAGAAAAAGCATCTTTTTTCGTTTTTGAAAACATCAATCATCAACTTTGTTAGTAGAAATGTCGAGTATCTAGATGATTTGATGACTCCAGTTGAGCTAACAGACTTTGTGGATGATGTTGGCTCACTAGAAAGAGATAAGATTTTGACTGAATATGTTCATATTAGTGTTAAGAGTCCAGTAGAAGTTGGCAAACCTGTTCAAGAATCAACAAGTCCAGAGAACAGTTCCTCATCTTCCATCAATAATTATTCCATCCCAATCCATGCAACTGGTGCTTTCAATTCTCTTTCATTTAGGTTGAATAGGGAGATTAAGTCGTCACATCTGACTTTGCCTTACTCACTCTCAACGATTTTTCAAACACAAGATCAAGGTACAAAAAGTTCTATTGATGAGCAAAATGGACATCAAGAGTTAGTTAGTGCAATCATTTAGTTGACTCAAAAGGATGATAAATCAACACAGGAAGAAACACTATTTACAAGCTGTTCAGAGCAGTTAATTTGAATGGGATCAGTCTGTAGCCTACTTGGTCTCCACCATTAGTGAGAGCTTCTGTTCTCTTGGGCAATTGTAATTATCTGTAGAGAACCAAAAAAGCGTATATGCGAGCGACGAGTTTCCCTCCAAGTTCAATGGAGCTCTCAATCTCTAAGCAAAAAAGATTTATCTCTTTTTAATGGGCTATTGATTGACTCTCATTTTTCAGCCCTCAATTCTACAATATAAATACGCAGCCAACCACAAAGGTTGTGAAATAACATTGGGTTATGAAAAGAAAAGTACCTTATTCGTTATTCATGCTGCATTTGAGGCCTTGAGATGCAGTTTCAACCAATGAGGATAGCTGTTTAATAATATTACATATGATTTGCATCGTGGATTTTGGATTGTGTCAACAGAGATCCAAAATATAGAGTATAATAACTTCAACGGCCATGAACATATGAGGTTACACGACCGTTGTGGTAACAGGAATCCAAACAAGCCATAACTATTATGGTGTATTTTCTTTAAGTCGAACTATGATGAGTACTCCATAGCTTTTCCTTTTCTAAACCAGTCTTAATTCTGTATAAAATAGCTTGAATTTCCTAATTCATAGCTGACTGTTCAGAATTTCTTTGTATGTTCTAATCAATAAGCCACTGAAAAAAGATGACTTTATCAATCAAATCTCCAACAAAACCAATCCCAGTGACTCTTCTATCTGGGTTCTTAGGTGCAGGCAAAACAACATTATTAGAACACATATTAACATCATCTCATGGCCTGAAAATTGCACTTGTTATCAATGATATGTCTTCGTTGAACATTGATGCTGCATTAATTTCCAATCATAAAGTCACAAAGAAGGAAGAAAAATTGATTCAATTACAGAATGGTTGTATTTGTTGCACTCTTAGAGGTGACCTTTTGGAAGAATTGGTTTCTTTAGCTAAAAATGGAGAATTTCAATATATTATCATCGAAAGTACTGGTATTTCTGAACCTATGCAAGTTGCTGAAACTTTCACAACTGAGTTCACTGAATCTTTATTAGCACAAGACCCAAATGATCAAGCTGCCCAAGGTATTAATCCCGAGGAAGTAGAAGCTTTGAAAGAAATCATCAAAGTCGGTGGATTGAATAAGTTGGCTTCTTTGGATACCTGTGTAACTGTTGTTGATGCCGTTAATTTCATTGCAAGTTTTGAAACAACTGATTTCTTGGCTGACAGATTTGGCGATAATGGTCAAGGTGAAAGTGAAAGAACAATCACTGATTTAATGGTTGATCAAATTGAATTTTCTGATGTGATCATATTAAATAAAATTGATTCAGTTGGTAAGAAAACCCTTGAGAAAATTGTGAAGATTTTAAAAAATCTAAATCCTGTTGCCAAAATTATTCCGACTAATTATTGTAAAGTGGATTTGAAAGAAATTATCAATACTGGTAAATATGATTTTGATAAAGCATCCAGTTCTGCAGGTTGGTTGCAAAGCATTCAAGAAATGGCTATCAGAGATGGGAAATATGGTGCTGATATGTCTAGTAGAATGGCCCCAAAACCTGAGACTGAAGAATATGGTGTCAACAATTTTGTTTATTCTGCAAGAAGACCGTTTCATCCTAAGAGATTGTATGAAGCCATTAGGGATAAATTTCTTGTCATTGAACAAAATGCTTATATTGATGATGAGGAAGAACAACAACAAGAAGATGAAGATGACCAGGATGACGAGCAAGACGAGGAGTCAGAAGATGAATCAAAAGAAGGTGACGATGAACAAGAGGATGATGATGATGAGCAAGATGACTTTTCACAGGAACAAATCATTAACAATAAAAAGAATTCACCATTCGGTCCATTATTACGCTCCAAAGGTTTCATTTGGTTAGCATCAAGATATATCATTAGAGGAGAATGGAGTTCAGCAGGTGCAATGCTCACACTCAAAGGTGGAATTCCGTGGTTTGCCATAACTGGTGAAGAATACTGGCCTGAAGATCCAATGGCTGTTGCTTTGATCAAGAAAGATTTTGAAGGTAAATTTGATGATAGACGTCAGGAGTTAGTTTTCATTGGACTATCAATTGACAAGGTGAAAGTGACTGAAGCATTGGACGCTTGTTTGCTAAATGATGAAGAATGGAAAGATTATAATGAAATAGTTGACTCAAAGAAGAATATAGTTGATATCGAAAAAACATTGCAAAATGAATATGAAGATGGATTTGAAGATTGGATCAAATTTGATAATGAGGTAACAGAAAGCCCAGATGCTAAGCTAGAGCGCTATAACAAGAAAAAGCATGCCAACCATGACCATTCTGGTAAGGAAGACTCAGTGAAAGTTCATTAGATGTATATAGATTTTTTTTAATTGAATGTACAGAGTTAAATGTCAACTTGCCCAAAAGTAGTGTTTTTTTCGTTTCGTGTCAGGTATTACATAACCAGAATAACCAATTATGCACAATTCATCAATACTCAACATTTCACATCAACTATAAGAAGAATCAAGAATCCACTAATTGTAACATTATATGTATATTAATAGAACATCGGAATTACCTTATATACACACAGTAGAGGATATTCTGTCAGGTTAAAACCACGAATAAAATAAAACAAGTGATCATTAAATCAACATCAACTAGAAACAATGGCTGTCACAAGAAACTCCAATAGAAGAAACACCTCTTCAACCTCTTCAACCTCTTCAACCTCTTCAACAACTAGAGTAACCAAAACCAGAAAACCAGCCAGAAAAACCAAGGCTAATCCTCGTGTTACAGCAATTGAAAACAATATTTCTGCATCACATGCTGCATCAACATCTGAAAACACACCAAACTCAACCACTTCAGAAGAAAATTTTTCAACAAATGGTG